AATGAGGCAACAGAAAACAACACATTTGCTGCTATCATGTCAAAGAATTCATGTTCAAAGGATTGCTTTTCATGGTGCGGTAGCCTCTCATCTTCAGCTGCTATTGTACACCACTCATCATCATCTCTGTAAGAAACTATAGTAGCTTCTGTGGCGGCAGCAGCATTTTCTGGATGAGAAATCTTCATGTTTACCTTAAAGAATATCAATTCTTCTTCCAGTGTTCAGCCTTGCTTTGAATTTAGTAAAAGCATTCCCAGCAGTGATCCCTGTAAGCTGTGTACTTATATGGAACTCAGGAGAGATTTCAATGCCACCCTGCTGATTAGCAGGGCACCCATAGCTAAGTTTTTGTTTCTCCTGGTGGTGCACATTTACACATGCCTCTGTGCACACAGCAAAAAAATATTCTGCACATGGCTGGAAAAGATTAGAGGGAACACTGATTCCCAGCTACATAGAAAATGTGTTTGAAATATATGTTAAAAAGGAGAGCATCTTAAATATGCAACAGGTTTTTGAAGATGATGCAAAACATATTTAAGGTAATATGTTGAACATACACAAATAGTTGGATTTAAATTAACAATTCTATAGGTAATGTACAAAGAATTGACTCCACCTCAATCACTCTGGTCTATATTGGTTCTGCAATGCCTTCAAGAATAAAGAGCAGTAAAACTATTTCTTCTCTGAAGTAAACAGGTATAATGGAATACAGATATGGAGCAGATCTGTAAGCATTATCTTTGCAGGTTCACTTTTTCGAGTTGAAAATGCTGTAACGTTTTTAGCATCTTTGGAGATTCTCACAGCAGTCTGCATTTTCAGTAACAGATTTCAGCAACAGTTTAGACTTACTTTTCTTCCCAGGACCAATGGACAAAAGCACTGAGCTTGGAGGATCTAATTTTCAAGAGCTCAAAACTCCAATCAACAGCTAACTTTAACCTTAATTTTAATTTTAATTATAAACTTTATAGGTATCAACAACCCTCAGAGAGGACCTAAATAGATTTTAGATTCATTTAGCAGCTTCGGCTGTGTGCAATTAAAACTTCAGCATTAAATGTTGGGGAATAAAATAATGAGACACTTAAAAAATAATCTGCGGTTCAGTGGACCATTCTTAGTAGAGATTTCATATGATTATTTATAATACAGAAGAAGATTCTCACTAAAAGCCATTGCTAGTATCCAGTGTTAAGGCAAACTGCTTTACCTATCAGCATTTTTTAAAAGATTTTTAAAAAACAACAAAAAAGTACTATGACTTTGGGATGTTCATATAATACTGATACCTCTAAATTCTGTCAGGTCACAATATCAAAACTGCACCAATGCATCACAAGATTAAACAAATAACAGACTCTTAATACATTTAAAAAGCACAAGCAAAGCAGGGGGAACCAGGCACAATCCAGGAATCAGTTGTTCTGGCTTAGCTAGTTCCCTGCTATGCCCCTGCTCCGGCCCCTCCCCACCCCCAACAGTGCTGTGAGGAACTGGCTTTTAAGCCGGCTCTCCCAGTACTGGATCCTGCTCCCCCCATGATGCTTCTCTCTGATAGAGGCAGCAAGGGGGGAGGGGGGAGAAAGCAATCAGTCAAGTCATTAGTTGACTATCTGATAAGCAAACACTTACATACCTAACCCCAATTTACTGCTTGTTTTTAAATTATCACAAAAATAAATGGAAAAACAATTCCAGAATAAATGAAATGTGAAAAATGTTATCAACTTTTTATTATGTTCCTTAGAAGAATATAATTTTACATGTTCTCTCAAACATTTTATACTATTAAAATGTGAGTAGGACAAAGTAAGACAACAAAAGAAATCCAGAGAAATTCCTACTCAGACTGAAAACTACTGAGGAATTGCAAGCTAACATTAGAAGTACAAAATTAAAATTATTTTGATGTTAAGTCTTCTAAAAACATGGATAGAAAAAGTAATGCACAGTACAAAAACATGCACACAGTTAAACTTAAAAGAAAATGAAAACAATGAGATTTTAACACTTTATTTTTACAACTGAAATGAATTTTTAATACAAAAATGAAACCAACATTATATAACTTCATAGGTAAAAGGGACATTTATATGTTTAGGGAAGTCAACAAATGTTACAATTTAAGATGATGAAAAGTTACAGCTTGCACACAAAAATTAAAAAATGAAATTAAATTAAAATGAAATGGTTACCAAGGTAATGCAGGTCAAGGGATCAAAGGTGAAGGGTCACACATTATTAAAAAGAAATCCAAAAGGACGTCTGCATCAAGATCTCTGCAAAACAAAGGAGCTATAGTAAGTAAAACTAACACCTTTCATGGAATCAATTCAAAGTCATTGAAGAGAGCCTCTTTCCAAACTGAATACAGTAAACCGTGTAATATTTAAATACTGTACATAGCAACCTTCACTTTGCTTTTAAGCTCCATTCTTATGCTTTGCCCCACTTCATTTCCCCTCCTCAAGTGGCTTATATATAAACTTTTCCATGCAAAGAAATGTTTAAGGAGGTTTTTGTTCTTATTAAAAAAGTAAGGAAAAATAAAGCAACACAGGTAGGCCAACCTAAGATCCATATGTTTTCTTTGACTTTGTGTCATAGACGAAACAGCAATTATAATCATACTGATCATTTAATGTTGATCAGGGAACCCATTATTTTAAAATGATAACGGTCAATCAGGTATTGATACAAGTATTTTTAAAACCAATTTTCAATGTTAAAATTATTCCCTTAATTTTAAGAGTTTGTTATTTAGCATGATTACAGAAATATTGTAGTTATTAACACACACACACACACACACACACACACACACACACACACACACACACACACACACACACAAAATACTAAAATAATAATACATAAGTTAATTACAATAAAACACTCCTTTAAATGTGATATGCAAGACAAAAATCTCTCCAGCTAGAATTTCAATTACATGAAAGCTATAAAGAATCTTTTGGTATGAACTCTTAAATAGCAAGCACTAATTTAGCTCATTCCCTTTCTGAAATTATGCAGAAATAGTAATTTTACATTAATCTTAAATCATGCTTTAAAAAGCAAAAATGAGCAACTGTATAGGATTCTATTCCTGTTTTTCTTCCACTCTGAATACATATTTTTCCTTTACCACAATAAGAAGTTAAGAGATTTTTCAATTCTTAAATAGAAATATTTCTGAATTTGGAATAAATCTAAATCAAGAAATTCAACCAAAATCTACATATAACTTTAGCTAAAACAAGGGTACCTGACCACCAATGATACAAAATTCAGTTTAAAGTTATGTTCTACAGCAATTATTTAATTCCCTCTTCAATTGTGCCACAAAAATGTATTAGGATTAAAAATAAGTTCTCTTGCATTAGTAAAAAAAAAAAAAAAAAAATCAGCCAGAGAAAGCAGTCACATTCTATTTTACTATTATAATGTCTGTAGTAAGATGAAGGAGGGCCTAGTTAACAATGGCCAAAACATGGCTAACATAAAGCAAAGCTAAGCTGTGAGCAAAAGGCAGGCCCCAACTCACAGAACTTGGCACAAACAGGGCTGAGTGTGCAAAACACTAATTGGTACTGGTCATAAGTTGAAATCATGCGGTACCACCAGCTTGTTTAAAAAAAAAAAATCTTGGTACCCACTCCTCACAGATGCAGGTTCAGGAAAGGGTCTAAAAATGACAGCATGATGGATAGAGATGATCTAATCAAACCACAAGGTACAGGTTGATGGGTGGTATCTAAAAAGCGTCAGAGGGTGGTAACCTGACAACGTTAGATGGTGGCATCCTGATACATCAGCAGTGAGGTGTGACTGTATATAAAGTGTTGTCTTGGGAGAACAGTCTATCTATGACCTGGGGATAGTGGAAATTTCCCATTGATTGCCCATTGTGGCAAGTACATATGCGTAGTGGATCAGTAGAGTCTACTGAAAACTATTACTGTACTTCATTTCACAATAAACCTGACCTGGCACCTTCAATCCTTATCTGGTTTGTGGTCTTTGAGGGCCCTCAGGATCTGCTGTGTTCAGTGGGCCCACATCATTGAGCACACACACAAGCAGCTTTCTGGTTATCATCATCGACAGAGCCAGAGGCTTGGGAGGACACGGCGGCAGTAAATCCACCTACGTACATTGGTGACCCCGAAGGTATTAACTGTCTCAATCTAGTGCTGAAGTAATCCCTAACGCACTTGGGGTAATAACGATATATTTCAAATTAACTCCTTCGTGATGACCAACATTTAACCACCTGTTTTCCATGTTTCTATGAATCCTATAAAACCCTCTGTTTCAATTCACATTTGATTGTCTCATTAAAATATAATCCTGAACTATTTGTGCATAAAAAACAAATGCCAAAATCTATCTTATAAGAGCATGAAGGGAGACCCTGCTAGTTTTTCATCACTGATCAGTGTAAGCTATGAGAATCAAATTAGATTTTAATACAGTAACTTGCCATTTCATACATTGTAAACAAATTGGTTGGCATTTTAAGACTGCATTTCTGAAAAATAAGGGGTTTTTTTGCGGGGTGGGGCGGGGCGTGTGCATAGCTGTTGGGATGGGAATATAAACCAGCATTTCATTTCTACTGGAATGCTCATCTCATACTGAATCTATCATGTATGTATTCACTGCTGGGAGGCATGCAAGCAATTTTAAATGATACAGAAAGAATCAATACCCCATCACAATGCCAGTATGTGGTATACAGTCCTTTAGCGGCAATGTTATTTACAGTGTTCTAGTCTTTGCAATGTGGTAAAAACCCAGTTAAGTAGCATACGCATGATAAAGTTTCTGATTCATTTCAATAGATGTGCTATCATTGTGAGAAAAAAAATGAACAAATCATCCAAATATATTTACTCATACTACTTCAGATATGTAACACTTCTCAGTTGCTTAGTCAGATTCCTAACAAAAAGTATAAATTATATTGATATGGTAAAATTTTAAGAAGGAAGGGACTTTACAGCAAAATAAACAGTCTGCCATGAATACTGATGTGATATCATGTACAATTTAAAATGACAACTGATTCACCCTGATAACTGATGATTACTCCTAATAACAGCTACCTGACCCAACTGCTATTTGATCCACTTAGCATTTAACAAGAAATAATTGATTAATCAGCTTTTATTTTAAACTGAAAGATTTTGTACAATCCATCATCTTGAGAATTAAATGAAGATTTGAAGCACCAACTATTTAACTTCAAAATAGTTTAAAATTTACAAACAGGTAAAACTGACTTCCATAGAAACCACCCTCTAAAACAGTGGTTTTCAAATCAGAAATATGCATACCCTTGGGGTTTCACAGAAACCTTGCAGGGGGCACATCAACACATCTAGATATTTCCCTAGTTTTACAATATGCTACATAGAAATGATTAATGAATTCTGTATAAACTAAAATTTCATACTGTCTACTTGTTTATGCTGCTGTACATACTATATTCTGAAATATAAGTACAATATTTATATTTCATTTAATTGATTTAATAATTGAATGATAAAAATGAGAAAGCAAGCAATTTTCCAATAAGAGTATGCTGTATCACTTACATATTTTTATGTCTGATTTTATAAGCAAAGAAGTTTTATGGGGAGGTGAAACTTAGGCCTCTGAATTGTCTTGGCATACCCTGAAAAGAGTACGGGGGTCTGAAAAGATTATAGTCGAGTAAACGATTAACCAATAAGCCTAGGCCTACAAATGCCAGAGGGCCAAGAGGAGACAAAGAGGAAAAGGATAGGAGGGGGAGGGGAGGTGTCAGTGGGGGTGGAAGAAGGGAAGGGACAGGGTGATGCTGGGAGAAGGGAAGGGGCAGAGGTGAGGGACAATGGAGGCAAGAGGGAAGAAAAGGAGAGAGGAGCAGTGGGTGCTGGGAGAAGAGTGGTTGAAAGTAGGGGTGGGCGTGAGGAAGGCAGGGGATGGAGCAAGTCATGTGTGAGGGAGCAGTGGGGTATGAAGAGAATTGGGGCAGAGGGTGGTGAGGGGGTGGGCATCAGGGAGAAAGAGGGCAAAGAGGGCAGGGACAGAGAGAGAAGAGGGAGGCAACAGGAAGGTGCTGGGGTAAGGGAAGGTTCAGATGCCAGGGGATTGTGGGGGTGAAGCCGAAGGGGAGACACATGGCGGTGAAGGACAGAGACCAGAGGAGAGGGGCAGGGCAGGTGGATAGAGGGAAGTGTCAGGAGAGGGGATGGGTAGCTACTGATGATCAGAGTGGGGCTAGAGGAGGAGCGGACATAGGGGGAAGAAAAGGGCTGGAGTAGGGGAGGGGGACAGCTCCCCAAAGGGCTGAGGGGAGTGAAAAGGGCAAAAGCCAGGACAGCAGAGGAGAGTGAGGGGTGGGGGGCAGCAGGCACTAGGGGAGCAGATGGGATGAGGAGAGGGTGGGAGAGACGGCAGCAGAGGGAAAGGGGAGAGGTTTATAAGGTATTTATTAATAACTTGGTTGCCATAGTGGCGCACATCTGAACAAGCGCACATGGACTCAACACTGGTGCACAAGACAAAATTCACTCCGCTAATGGGAGGACAATCTTAAGAGGGAACACTTCCCCCAGGCTCTCCCCCCAAGTTAATGCAATGCAAGTTGGGTTAAGGCAATTGCAAGATAGTTGCTTGGGGAGGAGGGTTTTGTGGGGGCCAAACTCATCCCTATTGGTAGAGGACGGTGGGAGGAGTTCTTAAAGGGGTCACACAACACCCTTTACTTCTGGTCATGTGTCCATCTTGACCCCGGGAGTACTACCTCCATAGGTGGGACTTCTTGTGGCAGGGGGCATGGCTAATGTGCCCCTAATTTTGGTTCAGAAAATATGGTCACCATATCTATACATGACTTACTCTTTACTTCATCTTATGTTCCCCGGCTTATTCTGTCCATTATAAATGGTTCTCTGAGTGTTCCCACTTTGTCTCTTAGCTTACTGGGCTATTTATCGATCTTAAACTTAAACAACAAATGGTCTGGTAGCACTTTATAGACTAAGCTCATGATACCATCTACATGTTTTGTTAGTCTATAAAGTGCTACCAGACCATTTGTTGTTTTTTAAGTTTATCCTGTACAGACTAACTCCGCTACCCCTGAAGCTTCTTATCTAATGATTCATGTCAAACCAGACCTACACCCTCAAATCACAACTGCCTGTTCTGTTGACGTTTATGTTCATGATGACTTATTGGGTTTTCAAAGTTTTGCCACTTTGTCAAGTAACTTCTCTTCCCTATACGA